AGTATCTACTAAAGCTAAATATATGCATACATTATGACCCAGCAATTCTACTTGTAGGTGGATATTCAACAGGAGTGCACACATGTGATCACAAAAAGACATTTAAAATGTTCCTTGTAGTAGCCATAATAATACAAAACAAGAAACAACCTAAAGTCCCTCAACATTAAAGTGGATAAATAAGTTATGGCAAATTTACCTAATAAAATGTCATAAAGCATTGAAAATTACTTAATTATTGCTCTATGAAATAACAAGAATGATTCTTATAAAAATAATATTAAACAGAGGGGGTCAGACACAGAATAATATACATTGAATGGTTCCATTTATATAAGGTTCAAAACCACTGGCAACCACCTCACACCCACTAGGATGGCTATTATAAAACAAACAAAAACAAAAACACATAAAATAACAAGTGTTGGCAAGGATGTGGAGAAATTAGAACTCTTTTGCACAGTTAGTGGGAATGAAAAATGATGCAGCCACTATGGAAAATGATATGGTGGTTCCTCAAAAAATTAAGAATATAAATACTACATGATGCAGCAATCCTACTTTTGGGTATTTTATGTGTATTTTACCACAATAAAAAATTTAAAAAAATAAATGAATGAAGGCAAAATGAATGTGGTCATTGACATCAGTCCAGTGGTTACCACAAGTAAGCAAAGAAATGCAAATTTATTTATTTATTTTAATATATATTTTTATTGATTTCAGAGAGAAAGAGAGAGGGAGAGAGAAATAGAGACATCAATGATGAGAGAGAATCATTGATCGGCTGCCTTTGGCAGTTCCGACTTTGGGGATCGAGCCTGCAACCCAGGCAATGTGTCCTGACTTGAATTGAATCGTGACCTCCTGGTTCATAGGTTGATGCTCAACCACTGAGCTGCATTAGCCAGGCAAAGAAATGCAAGTTTAAACTGTTACATGTATGGGTTCTTCATATTGGCATATGGTTCTTCATAAAAAGCATCTTAGAGCCTGGCAAGCATATGGGGAAATTGCCATTATTGTACTCTGAGGTTGAGATTATAAATTGCAGGGCAAAAGACTAATCTTTATCAAAATTTAAAATAAACTTTCCCTTGGATGCAGCAATCTAATTTCTAAAAATGTACTTTAAAGTAAATAATCAACCAAAAATCCAAAATATGTTCATTGTAATGTAGTTTATAATAATAAAATATTAGAAAAATTTCATATACATCAAATAAGGCATAATAAATTACAATACTCACATACAATGAAACACACACACACACACACACACACACACATACACATCTGGAAAAATGCTCACCAAATTTAAACAGTCGTTATCTCACAGTGGTAGACGTGAACTTTCTTTATTAAAAAAAATTTTTTTTATTGCCCAGCCAGTGTTGTTCAGTGGTTGAGTATCCACCCATGAACCAGGAGGTCAGGGTTTAATTCATGGTCAGGGCACATGCCTAGGTTGTGAGCTCGATCCCCAGTGGGGGGTGTGCAGGAGGCAGCCGATCCATGATTCTCTCTCATCATTGATGTTTCTATCTCTCTCCTCCTCTCTCTTCCTCTCTCTGAAATCAATATAAAATACTTTTTTAAATAAAAGGTTTTTAATTGATTTTTTTTTCCTTAGCGAGAAAGGAAGGGAGAGGGAGAGAGAGAGAGAAACATGGATGTGAGAGCAGAAAGTTGATCAGTTGCCTCCTGCATGCCCTCCACCAGGGACTGAGCCTGCAACCAGGCCATGTGCCCTGACCTGGAATTGAACCAGCAACCTTTTGGTTCACAGGCTGAAGCCCAACCAACTGAGCCACACCGGCCAGGGCTCAGTTTTCTTTTTCTTTTTTATAAATATATTTTATTGATTTTTTACAGAGAGGAAGGGAGAGAGAGAGAGAGTTAGAAACATCAATGAGAGAGAAACATCGATCAGCTGCCTCCTGCACATCTCCTACTGGGGATGTGCCCGCAACCCAGGTACATGCCCTTGACCGGAATCGAACCCAGGACCTTTCAGTCCGCAGGCCGACGCTCTATCCACTGAGCCAAACCGGTTTCGGCTCAGTTTTCTTTTTAATGTTTGAATTTTTGAATGAGTACTGAGTTAAGAGAAAACAGGAACAATAATTGGAATATTCTGGTCTGTTTTAGTCATAGGCAACACTTTCACATTCCTATGTTCGTTGTCATGCTTCCCACTTATTCTACCAACCTCCCATTAAAATGGCAAATCAGACTGAGAAGTAAAGGATGGATGGGCTCTTTGGGGTTTAAAGTCTCTGCTGCATTTACACTGAGAGGTAAGACTCCAGTGGACCACCACAGCGACTGGAAGGCCTTCTCTCTGCCCCAGGCACATTGCAAAATATTACATTGCTTTCCTTGAGCTGAAATGTTTGCTTTCCCCCAGGAGCTGAGGCTGGGCCTCCTCCTCTGACCCCCTCTGGAGCAGGAAGGCAATGCCTTGTCTCCCCACCCCCCCCCCCCCCACACACACACACACCCTATTCAGAGTTGTCTAGCTGGGAGCTTTGCATTTCTGTAGGCCTTTCCCTAGGAATCTAAGAGCTTGGAGCCATTAATCCTCACTACAATGACAGGTAGAGTGTCCTACCAAAAGAAGTTTGAGCCGTTCAGTCTTAATGGTAATCTCTCTTCCACTTTCTTTCATTCTAATCAGCAGCTAGGAGATTGGTAAGGAGGCAGAAGGAGGCAAGCAAGAAGAGAGAGGAAACATTTAGGACCCGGGCTCCGCAAGACACTGCTTCCCAGAATCACACTGTTTTCATACACCACTGACATAAGAACTCGAAGAACTGGAAATTTTGACTTTCTCTCAAGTGGCTGCTGCCAGTATAGACATTTCAGTGAGCTTGGCATTCTCTTCAAAGGGTCAACTGTGATAAAATTCCTACCTTTAATTGGTTACAGTTTTGAGAACTGGAGATGCTCAAGGTATTGGCCCCAAAGCTTCAAAAATGGACCCTAGGACCTAACTGTAAGCAGCTCTCTGCCCTGACCTGCAAGGAGGGCCTTTCCTTCGAGAACTCGACCAGGAAGCCCCGGGTCACGTGGATCCCCCATGCCACCTCCCCACTTGTGCAGGGCACCTCCCGCTAATCTGGAAGTCTGGTTATAAGCCAAGGGGGCCTGTTATGTAACTCTGAAAGTTTAAACTTGGGAAAACACACGCATAGCTAAACAAGGGCCTGGTGAAAAGGAGCAAACATGTTTGCTCCTAGATCCTATTTCTCTATTTTATTGCCCTGAAAAGCAATTTATTGTATTCATTATTACATCTCCCTACCTTCCTGGCTGCCCAAATGGCCATGTCATCCAATGAATTTATAAAAGTCCTTTCTGCCTTTTAAAGGGCCCTTAAAATGTCATCTCACGTGTGCAAATAGAAGTGAAAATTGTTTAAGTGCCCACTGTACTCATCTTTGCATGTCTTTCTTATGACCCACACTGAGGGCCACATCTCCCAGCCCCAGGGAGTGCAGGCGGCTCCTCCCTGGAGCCTGTGTTCCTGGGAGGGTCAAAGGCACTGAATAAGCTCCCCTTTCCCTCTAACCCACAGGAGCCTGGAAGCAGAGCCTGTACCAGGAAGTTCAGTGATGGTCTGAAACGAGGGGATGAGGGGCAAACTGAGAGGGAAGGGCCAAGGTCCCAGTGATGGGGCCCAGCCCCCAGGCCCCAGCTTTGGGCTCTGCACTTCTGTTCCCCATCAGCTCTGTGCTGCCAGGAGCCTCCACAGAGAGCTGCAGGGCCAGGGGCCCAGGGGGCAGTCAGGCAGCTGCAAGACGGGCAGCCTTTCCAGGTGGTGCAGAGAGAAGGAGGGAAGGGACGGAAATGCACCCTGTCGCTGAGAGGAAGGCAGACTGGGCCTCAGGCTAATCCCTGTGAGAACTGTTTGCTCGGGGAGACCGGGCACAAGTCCAGGAGTCAGGCCCTGGGTGCTGTCCCATGAGAGAGATAATTCCACCACCCACTCTGCCTGCTCGGTGGGAGACAGCTGGGAACCAGGAGGGGCACTGTCCCTGGGAGCACTCCCCCTCCCCCCATAAACGGGGGCATTTGTACAGCTGACACCAGGCCCTATGGGAGGGTTCTGTCTATGAGACTTCGGGAGGGGAAGGCAGGTGGTTTATCTCAATGCCAATTGGTGAATTTAGCTTTGACAAAATGAGAAAAAATAAAGACAATGCAGTGAGCTTTTTAAAAAGCTAAATGTATTTAATTTAAAGATTGTTCTTAGTCTAATTCTGTGTCCAGCCGAACGTTGCAATTTACTTTACTGATGGAGCCACTAGGTGATCATTACTGTTGTTTTTAAAGCCTTTACTGGCCAACTTGTCCAGTTTTTTTCTTTTGATTTTATTGGCCCATGAAAGCCCAGAGGTAAAAAGCATTCGAAGGCATGTTTTTTGGCCCCTTTCTTCTGTGATTATTCTGCCTGTGTCTTATTTCATAGTATGTACACCTAGCATTCATTTCCTTTAGTTATTCAACAGATATTAAGTAAGCATCTACTATGTGTTGGATACTTTATCGAGATATAATGTTTACTTCAGGGGATAAAAGATTTTGATTATGCCAGAAAGGAACAACATAAAACAAAAGTATTAAGTGGGTATCCTATTTATCCTCAACACATTTAATCCACGAAAAACTTAACTATGGTTTAGCCAATAACATTTCATCAGGCAGCTACCATCAAGAAACTTTCACTTTGATCATAAAGCATAGTTGTTGTTTGTTTTTTTTAGCAAAATTATTATTTAAAAAATAATGAATCTAAATTCTCCCCAAATTAAAGTGACCACTGCTCCTCTAATTGTCCTTCCTTTTTGTTTCTATCTAGATCAGTGGTTCTCAACCTGTGGGTCGTGACCCCTTTGGTGGTCAAACGACCCTTTCACAGGGGTCGCCTAAGACCATCCTGCATATCAGATATTTACATTATGATTCATAACAGTAGCAACATTACAGTTATGAAGTAGCAACGAAAATAATTTTATGGTTGGGTCACAACATGAGGAACTGTATTTAAAGGGCCAGAAGGTTGAGAACCACTGAATTCACCATGGCATGAATTCTACCCAGAAAATGAACGTGGTAGAGACTTCTAGGGACGGGTTTCAGGCTCACTTGTTACTGCAGCATAACCTAGCCTATCCTGACTCTTTCAGCCTTCCTAGTTTAAATGTATTTCCCCTTGAGTGCTGAGTAGGGCTGATCTAACACCTGGATGAAGTAAGTTATGCTTCTAACATGTGATTTGAAGGTTTTTCACCCCAAATCACTTCTCTCTTCATTTTCTAAGTTTCTACCTAAAGTAATTTGACCTCAGGCCTCTTTAAGCTTCCCTCTCCTCAACTGTGATGTGGAATAAAAACAGTTCCTTTCTCACAGGGTTGTGCTGAAAAATATGTAATATAATTTGATTAAATCACTTCACATGGTGCCTGCCACATAGTAATAATTCAATGGTGACTATTATCATTAGTATTATGGTTATTAATTTCCTAGGGCTGCTGTAACCAAGGACCACAAACTGGGTGACTTAAAACAACAGAAATGTATTGTCTCACAGTTCTGCAGCCAGGAGTCTGAAATGAAGGTGTTGGCAGGGTTGGTTCCTCCGAGGGCCCTGAGGAAGGGTCTGCTCCGGGCCCCTCTCCCAGCCCTGCTGGTTTGCTGACAGTCTCTGGTGTGGCTTGGCTCCTGCGGTGTCACTCCAATCCCCACCTTCACCATCACATGGCATTCTCCCCGTGTGTCTCCGTTGTCACATGCCCGTTGTCTGAGAACACCAGTCACATTGGATTAGGGGCCCACCCCGCTCCAGTACATCTTAACTTAATTACACTTGCAAGGACCCGATTTCCAAATAAAGTTACCTTCTGAGCTCTTGGGGGTTAGGACTTCAACATATCTATTTGGGGGGGAACCCAATTCCACCCACAGCACAAAGGATAGGATTTTGTTTATTATTATAACTTTAAAATTTTATATTACTTAAAAATATTTTTATTGCCCTAACCCAGGGGTGGGCAAACTTTTTGACTCGAGGGCCACAATGTGTTCTTAAACTGGACCAGAGGGCTGGAACAAAAGCATGGATGAAGTGTTTGTGTGAACTAATACAAATTCAAAGTAAACATCATTACATAAAAGGGTATGGTCTTTTTTTTTTTTTAGTTTTATTCATTTCAAACGGGCTGGATCCGGCCCGCGGCCATAGTTTGCCCACGGCTGCCCTAACTGGTTTGGCTCAGTGGATAAAGCGTTGGCCTGCGGACTGAAGGGTCCCAGGTTCGATTCCAGTCAAGGGCATGTACCTTGGTTGCGGGCGCATCCCTGGTGGGAGGTGTGCAAGAGGCAGCTGATCGATGTTTCTCTCCCATTGATATTTCTAACTCTCTATCCCTCTCCCTTCTTCTCTGTAAAAAGTCAATAAAATATATTTTAAAAAAATAAAAAATAATTTTTATTGTTGTTAGAATAATAATAATAGTTATTATCGTTTTCATTGTTTTTCTATTGTCAAGTTTTCACACTGGCAGATCATCACCAAATGCAGGCCTCACGGCAGTTTCTTAAAGCAGACCAACACAATTCCCTGTTGGGGCTCCCCCATCCAACCCACATACACCCCACCCCCGCAACCCCCTACCCCCAAGCAGAGCAAGTCACTCCTCTTCTCTCCACCAACACTTCCACTGCAGTGATTCTCCCCTCGCCCTCTCTGCCTTGTCTTCACCTTCTCTCCAACTTCTGCTGGCTCACATCCAAGGTGAGGAGGACCTCACCGATGGAAGCCAACCGCAGCCTGACCTCACGGCACGTGCACTGTGCTATGAGATAAGGAGGCTGCCTCTGTGACCCTCCCAGCGGGGGTCTCGCTGCTGTGGAGCCGCTCTTCACACACCACCGGGGCGTCCTGGACACCTGAAGATGTCTGCCAGGAGCTGTCCCACAGCATCCATTTTCACCGGTGTGCTGCAAAAATGCCTCAAACATGCAACCCCTGACTCTTTAGTCAGGGGCACTGACCTCTTTTCCCTTAGGTTGTCAAATTAAAAAAAAAAAAATGACAGTAGCCAACACAACAATAGCCATCCAGTGTGAATGAATCAAAATTATACTTTTTTTTTTTTGTCAGATTGGCAAAAAATACATTTTTGGTGTGCTGCAAAATTTTAGTAATTGGTTTAGTAATTGGTTTATGAGGTGAAAAAGGTGGAAAATTGCTGCTCTACAGGAATAACTTGCTTTTACAATCTCTGGCCTTCATTAGGGTGGTGTGCCATTCTTCCTCCTTTTTTGGTTATTATTTTCTTTTGCAAATGGTACCCCATTTTTAATGCATGAGGGGTGTTTTACTAATTAAAGAAAGCCTGTGGCTGATCCTGTTGTCAACCAGATAAAATAATCAACTGCTACTGTATTTTGGGCAAATTCAGATTTTCAGAGGTGATACTGGGTTTGCTTATACGGCCGTGCACCTAGGCATGGCTTTGCAGCTTAAAGACTTGGGTGTGATGGTCAATTCGGATGGAGCAATGGCAGGCATATGCGGGCCATTGACTTCTGACTTCTGTCAGGGCCTGTCCTCCAGGATCGTTAGTCCCTGGAGTGAGTGGCCACAGTGGGCCCATGACACCCAGGATTACTGTGTGGCATCGAATCCGGCCCTCCCAGAGTTTGCAGACTCCCAGGAAGGAGTGCAGCTCTGATCTGGAACCTCATTCTTCATCCCAGACTGTCTGTGCCTCACCCTACATCCACCTCAGGAGCGGAATGACCGGACCCAAAAGAATCTTTGTGACTACATTTACTACCTACCCTGGCTTACAGCAAAGGGGAAAGGGAAGGGGTGTTCTTTACCTGTTTTAAGTTGCCAGATTTAGCAAATAAAATAATATGACACCCAGTTAAATTAGACTCTCAAAAAACAAATAATTTTTTATCACCCTAATGCAGCATAACTATAGTTAATTCAGCATAACTATAGTTCAGTAGTGTAAAGTATATTCACATAACAAGTGATTTTTTTAAAATATAAGTATGTCCCAGGCAATATTTGGGACATATTTATACTAAAAATAATTCACTGTTTACCTGAAATTCAAACTTAACTTGGTATGCTACATTTAAATCTAGCAACTCTCCCACCACTTGTCCTGGCTCAGCTCACTCATTCAATTGTTTGTTTCTGTTCCTGGTTCCTACTGGTTCTAGGCTCTGCAAAGACAGAGGATCCTTAGGGAACCGAGGCCGTCCTGCTCTAACCTCCTAGGTGAGAGGCTGCCAAGCCTAGGACACACACTACAAGCTTAAAAGGTGATTTCGAGCAGTCGAGTCCCTGAACAAAATCATCATCAGGAACAGGGTATCTCTGGCACTTCCCATCTCTCTGTAGTGTCCACTTGTCACCCTGCCCCTCCCTGGGCAGCCCCCTTCTGGGTCATGACTTCCTAGCCAAGCCCTAACTGATAAACATCAGGTGCCGATATGTTTAAAATGTGACCTTCTTTCAGACATACTTATTCTCTCTCCCCAGTGGACTCAAGTGATCAAAACAGAAGGCTGCTGACCAGACAGAGTGGCATCTGTTGCCTGTGTGGGGTGAGTCTGCCCAGCCCTTGGGGCCACGGAGCCTAAGACTGCTCACCTCACCTAAGACTCCTCACCTTGCAGCTCTTCTGAGAGGAGTGAGTTATTTACAAGAAAAGCTTCAAGGACTCCATGTTTAACAGCAAATTCAAATTCCCCTTGGAGTTCTATTTTATAGAACCTAGGCTCCCAGAGTGGAGCTAGAAAAAGAAAGCCCAAAATGAGAAATCTTTAGAGAATAGGCAGCTCCAGTATAACTTAGTGCAAACCACTCCCGCCAGGCGCCTGGGGACAGGGACAAGAAGAGCTTTCTCCTCGTTGCTGTACCAGGAGTCCTGGTGAGCTGTACGAATAGCTGCCCAGCTTGAGTGGTTCCAATGGACTCAGATACATGTGCAGTTGGTGACGGACAGTGTGTTAGGCAACATTAAAATACACATAGTGAACCTTTTAACTATGTTATTACATGCTGGGCATACAAAATGCCATATTTGTATTGCACAGTCATGTGGATTTTAAATTTTAGTTAGCAAAAATTAATTAAACAAGAATGCATGGCTTCTTTTAAAAAAAAAAAGTTTAAAAAGCCCTGGCCGGTTTTTCTCAGTAGTGAGAATGTTGGCCCATGGACCAAAGGGTCTCAGGCTTGATTCCCAGTAAAAGGCACGCACCTCGATTGCAGGTTCAATCCCCGGCCTCGGCTGGAGTGTGAGCAGGAGGCGACTAATCGATGTGACGCTCTCACATTGATGTCTCTCTCTCTCCCCTTTCCCCCAACCCTTCCAATCTCTCTAAAATTCAATGGAAAAAATATCCTCATTCCTTGGGTGAGGATTAAAAAAAATTTTTTTTAAGTTTAAGAAAATACACAGAGTGACCCACATGCTCAACCAATTTATACCTTCAGAGATTTTTCTTGCAACCGATTAGTTACATCAAATAAACCATGAAAACATCTCAATAGATTTCTAATAGTAATTCAGTCTTCAACACATTGAGCACAATCACATGCCCGGCCAAACAGAAGTTGGGGTATAAGGACAACTAAGACACACCCCCTCATGGAGATGCTTATGATCAAGTGGCAAAGATTGGCAACAGGACTCTCCATCATGGCACAGAGTGGAGTGACAGAGGTGGGCACAGGACGCATAAGCACACAGAGGATGGCTATCGCCCGCCCAGGCACGGAGTAATTGGGAAAGGTGGGCCAAAAGGCTTCCTGAAGGAGGAGGTTCCGGGCAAGGTGTGGAAGAGCAAGTGGCAAGTTGACCAAAGGCGTCGCTCCTTTGGCAGAGGCTGTACAATAGGAGCCAACCCAAGTGAGGCCGCCGCCTCTGGCTCAGCTCTACTGACCCCACTATTCTGGTCCCAGAATTTCCTTTGAGTCTCTCTCTCGAGTGGTCCCTACCAATCATGGTAGACAGAGAATGGAAATCCTCTTTCATAAACTTTCTCTTTATTCATTTATTCAAGCAGTTAATTAATTTTGGGAGATTCCCAGAGTGATTCTAGCACTTCCATCCAAGCTTCAATTACTGAAAAGCTTCACTGAGTTTGGTCTCCAGAGTGTTCAGATTGATTCTTTCTTGTCTTAATATTGAATAGGCTGCCTCTGAGGCCAGCGGCTTAGCGGGCCTGCTCAGCTGTAACTAGGGATTTTGACCACCAGCTGGGCTTTCAATACCACTTCTGCTCAAGGGCCTGGTCAGAAAGGCTGTTCTTGGCTCAAATAGGCCTTGTCCCACCCCTACTTCTATAGCCATTTCCTCCAGCAGCCATGTCAACATTCATTCTGTTCACCCACTCAATTCACACGTAGAGTGCATTGCCACCCAACTGAAATACTGAAACTGAATCAACGATAAGACTCTTGGGGAAGGTCTATGTAATAAAATATGAGTGAACCACAAAGGATCAATGTCAGGGAGGGGATGTGAACCCGGGGGGCGTCTCAGTCCAGGGAAGAGCAGGTAGGGGGCCCTGAAGATTCCTTTTAGATGAGGAGACTCTCCAGGCGTCATACTTCCCAAACCACACCAGACATATTTAGTTTGAGAAGAATTGCAGGAGGAATACAACAGCTAGATACATCAAAACTTAAGAAGACTGACTAAGAATAGCTTGGAGTGGGCAGAAGGTATCTTTAGACTGAGCAGATCTGCTGAGGCATGTGGCATTACA